TGTTATTCCAGTATGTTTTATGTTCTGCTCAGTTACTCACAGATAATAAAGTATGAGTACAAACAAAACACTAGTTTATTTGTCCTGCAAAATTATTGAGGAATCCTTCAGCTCTACCAACGCAATGACCAAATAAGCTGTTAACTTATCCAGACCCCCTACAACGCTTAAAGCCATGTAAGAGCTACTGTGTGCACCTACTGGCAAAAGTTACCTGCACGCTCCCATTGGGACTAGAGCAGTAGGTTGTCCAAAACATTCCTGTTGATCTATTTCATAGTCAGATATTCCGCCTTCATTAATTTCAATTTTAAAGAACAATGAATGTTTATTTCCACCGATGACTGTGGGGTAACAGGAGAACTAAGTAACAGCAGCAATCTAGACACATGATCAAAGGACCCCTACATGGCCTTTGGGCAGACTAAACTCTAAACTTCAAAGCTGACCAAAACTCAAAAATGCACCAATTTCGAAATTCCAAATGACAGCGCTTTTAATTGTGTTTTCTGATTTTGCGGCAACGGGAGGGAATACCGCTCCGGAGAAAGAACCCCCTATACACCAGAGAAGGTCTCCAACACCTCCAGCAGCACAAAGCTCCATTCCTACCCGGCTGCAGCCAGCTGCTGACACCCCGCAGGTCCCCGCGCGCCGCTCAGCCGCCGCTCCCCGCGCTCCCCAGCGCTCCCCAGCGCAGCCCGATGACAGCGGCCTCCCGCAGGCGCTCCCGCCCCGGCCCCAACTCCCCCCGATCCCCGCAGAAGGTGCGGGCAGGGCCACCACAACAGGTGCCCGCCGCTCCAACGGCCCCGCTCCCACCACCCTCCTCTCCCCGCTCCCAGGCCGGGCCGAAACCCCGCTCCCGCCCACCGCAGGGCGTTGCGCATCAGGGCGAAAGGAACCGGGCGAACTCCCTTCCTTCATCACCGCTCCCGGGGCCCGGCTCGCTCGCAGCCCGGCAGCCTCTCCCGGACACCGACGCGAAAAGGGCCGCAGAGGCCGCAACCGCTGCCCAGGCCTGTCCCATTAGGGGGCGGCGGAGGGGAGGGCGGGGAGGAAGGGCAGCCCCGAAGCCCGCAGCGGTTCCTCGCCCCGCCAGCGCCGGGCAGCGGCCCGCCGGGCCCCGCGCTCTCCCCGCCGCCTCTCTCTAAGATGGCAGCGGCGCTGCCCCCTGCGCTGCGCCCCCTTCGACCGCGCCGGGCCGGGAGGTGGCACCCGCTGGTCCCGCTGCGCAGCCCCCCGCCGCCGGCTCACTCACCGCTCGAGCCCCGCGCTCCGGCCCGGCTCCTCCCGGCGGCGGCCTCTCCTCTCCTTTCCTCTCCTGCCGGCGCGGCGGGGAGAGCGAGGAGCGAGCGCTTCTTCTTCTTCCCCCGGCCTCGGCCCGGGGCCCCGGCGCGGCGGCGCCTCCCTCTTGCGCGCTCCGCAGTCCGTCCGGCCGCTCCGCCACGCTCGGGCCCGCACGGCCGGCGGCGGTGCCGGTGCCGATCGCAGGGTCTGCCCGCTGCGCGCCTTCTTCTCCGGGCGGCGGGGAGAAGGGGGGGGGCCCGGCCCGGCCCGGCGGGCGGATCCGCGGCGCTTCCTGGCCGGGCTGGATTTTCTATCGCTCACAAAATGGCGCGCGTTCCAAACCTGCGCAGCGCCCGGCGGCGGCAACGGCGAGGCCCGGCCTCGCCTCGGCTCGGTGAGGTGCGGCGGTCGACGGCGGCCTGAGCCCCGGCCTGGCAGCGCGGGGACAGCGGCGGGCGGGCGGCGAGAGGGGGAGGGGGAAGAGGAGGAGGAGGAGGAGGTGGTGGTGGAGAAGGAGGGGGTGGGGGGGAAGCGCAGCGCTGTACCGAGCCCCCGGGAACTCCTCGCTCCCTCCCTCCCCTGCTTGCCAGCCAGCCTGCCTCTACCTCCTCCCACCCCGCCCGCTCCTCCTTCTCCTCCCTCCCGGAGCGGCTCTGCGCCGGCACCGCTCCCTCACAGCGCGCCGCAGCGCGGGGTGAACCTCCGGCGGACCCTCGGGGACGAATTATTGCCCTTTTTGGATATACATGTATATATATATGTATATATTATTTTTTTTTTCATGAGGATGTTCTTCGTATTTCTCGACCTTCCGAGGGAAAGCGGGAAAGGGGAAAAATAAAAAAATAAATGAAAATAAATTAAAAGAAAACCACCACCACGGCTCGGGCGGGAAAGGGTTTTGGTTTTTTCTGATTTTTTTTTTTTTTCGGGGGTGGG